GATGGGACTGACTGTGGTCCTGTCGGGCTCCCTCCCCTGAAGGAGGTTTGTTGCTCCGGGCAGTTGCTTGAGACCGCTGTTTGCTGCGCAGGGTTGGGCAGCATCGTTGGTCCTGTGGGCGCTGGAGCTTGTTCGCACCGGCCATTTTATGACCTCCTCGTGGGTGCTTTGAGGAGCAGATGCCTTGTTGTTTCTCAGCATTTTGTTGTGTGCGCCGTTCAAGCTTGCGCCAGAAAGCTTCAAAGATCGCTTCTAGCCTAGCTGAGTAATCCGCTTGTTCAGGGTGGTTATCAGCCGTTTTTTTCGCCCTCTCCTCGGGTTGCTTGGACTCAGCTCTGACGGCAGTCCCAGAGGTACTGCGAGTCTGTTGTGTTGCAGGCTGTGTTGTAGGGGTAATCGTCCCCAGCGAGGACCGGGATATCCCCCACCGGTCCATAGGGGGGGTAGCAGGGGGGGTAGAATTCAACATATACTTATTTTTATTGTACTATATACTCTTTATTTATTTTTTAACTCCTGGCAGTTTTACATTATTTTTAAAATTAATTATTTTTATATTTTATTTTATATTATACTTTTACTATTCTATTTTTACTACTGAAGTGTATCCCGTCCAAAGAAATCCTGAGGTGGGGATAATTCCACCAGTGCTGTGGCAATAGAGCAGTACCTGTCTGCTCTATTTTTGTAAGTATAACTTATTTTAACATATTACTGTGTTGTTCATACTGAGAGCACTATCTGCTGTTTTATATATCTCGTGGACATCCACTATCCAATACCGGAGAGGCGGACCTATCTCCCCAGCATAACGAATACGCACATCTGAGTAGGTCCTAGCCTACATCAAAGAAATCTCAAGCCGGACGGACGGACCAACCGTTTAAGTATATCCGATAGTGGGGATTAAACCACTAAGTACCTCTTCTCCTAGAGCTGGTTAGAGCTCCAACAAATGTGAGTAAAATACCTTTCCTTTGAATATATACCATATTTTGGACATACAATATTTCACCATTGGAAGCTTTTTTCCTCTTATTTTTGTCTTCACATATATGGACTACCTATCATCATAAGGACGGAGCGACACTTGAGGACTTATATTATATTACTACATACCAGTGAGACTGTTTTAATTTATATTTTTTATTCAGATGAACTTTAATTGTTTTTATCCCTTTTACTCATTTTAGTTAAAGCGCAGCCCTTAACTCCTCTTTTTTGTACCTTCTTGTTTCTAAAAGGGTTTCGTGAGGGATTCCCTTTTAGGGTTGCTGCTCATTTGAGTTAGCGCAGACTCTTCCCCTTTTCTATTTCTTAAGTGTGTATATGTGTTTGTCACTAAGTGTATGTGGGCATATATCTAAAGAAGTCTTCAATTTATTACACAAAAGCAGCAAGAATATATAGGCATAAGTGGTTTATTCAATTATATCAGACATATTTGGCACACTTACGATACGTATGAAACATATTTCTAAAACAAAAACAATCTGTAAGAAAGTTAAAGGGACACTATAGTCATCAAAATAACTTTAGCTTAATAAGGCTGTGTTGGTGTATAGATCATGCTCCTGCAGTCTCACTGCTCAATTCTCTGCCATTTAGGAGTTAAATTACTTTTGATACTGTCTATGCAGGCCTAGCCACATCTCCCCTGGCTGTGACTGACACAGCCCGCATGAAAACAAAATCTTTTCATTTTCAATCAGATGTAACTTTCTCTAAAAACTTCTTGTTTCCTGCTATCTACATTGAACTTTAATTACAGTATATACAGGAGACTCCTAAGTGGTGTAGCAAGCTATTACCAGATCATGATATAAGAAATTCTAAATTAAACAAAATTTGCAATAAAGTAAATGTAAACATTCTCACTTCACAAAAAGTGTTTAATGACGTGCACGTCACATGCAGGGCGGTGTGTCCAGAGCTGCATAAACAAAGTGATTTAATTCCTAAATGGCAGAGAATTGAGCAGTCAGACTGCAGGGGAATGATTTATACACCAAAACTGCTTCATTAAGCAAAAGGTGTTTTGGTGACTATAGTGTCCCTTTAACAAGGGGAGTAATTATATCTAAGCAGGTGCAGGAAAGTTCAGGGTTGTTTCTGTGAAGCTATGCCTATCAGGAAAAACTCAAGGTTGTGGTTATCAGGGAGGCTCGCTTACATTGGCCGCATTATATATGCAAGCCAATTATTATTGAGACAGGTTACAAGTTCATGCAGACAAGGCACGAATCTCTAAACATTTGTTTATTTAAAACAGACAACTGCACCATAGGCGTGCGCACGGAGTGTGCTGGGTGTGCCAGGGCACACCCTAATCTCCGCGGCAGGCCTCTGTATATTAAGAATGGCAGGGGAGAACTCAGGATCTCCCCGTTGGCTCATGCAGAGCCGGCGCTATCCGAGCGCCAGCTCTGCTCTCAGCCTCCCTCCTCACCGACCCACAGGCAGGGAGGGAGGCAGGAGAGGACCCGGGGAGCTCTTGCTA